AAAAAAAAAAAAAAAAAACCCACCTCCAAACTCAAACTATGAAAAAGCAAAAAACAAATTGATACAAATTCTTGATTCTTAAACTGAAATACTGCTGACATGCTTATGCTGAGAAATGAGTTTTCAAGACCGTACAAGGAGTACCGGTTTGACCTAATGCGCTGTGCTACATAAAGCAGTGATGATTAATACTATGATAACAGTATTATTACTTCAGACGCTCAAACTGTTAAGGGGCTGTATACAGTCCAATCCCTTGTATTTCTAATTAGGAAACAAACTCAGAAAAGCTGAGTAATTTGAGAGCCACTCACTTCGGTGCCTGAGTAACCAAAAGGAACGAAGATGTTACATGGCTAAAACGAACAAGAGAAGTTCCCACAGAAGATCCAAGGCAAATTCTTCAAAAAGCCAAAATAATGAAATGCTACTCACCGATAGGGAAGTCTCTCATAATAGGTCTTTTCCAAAGCAGCAAAATGGTATCTTGGTTTCAAGTCTGTGGCAAGACCGGAGATCAAAGCAGAGCCACATTTTTTGGTATCCACTTCTCCCTAGGAAAAAGAAACTCAGTCATCATAACAGACCTAGGAGTTATCAAGAAATGCAAAGAAATAGGACAATTTAAATGTCTTTGAAATTTTTATGTCGATACAAATGTAGGCAGTAGGATTTGGAGAGTAATATCCACAACTTGTGGCAATCAGAGAAACCTCAAACACGGAAGAGGAAGCAGGCTATTGTTAAGTGCAGAGAGGACAACTGCAGGAAGCAGGGGTTAAAAGGTAAGGTGAGCCCTCCATACTAATACCCAAAACAGGGTTTATTCTAATCTTTTTGGAAAGCAAGCTCTCTCTCTGGAGCCCACAGACTATGCTTCTATAATCTGCGTTGTTACACATCCATAGTTCTGACAATGCAGACATTCAGAATCAATGCAAAAAAATAAAAATTAAAAGCTAGCTTCCAGGGTCCTTAGGATCCACAGAACATCTGGAATGGAATATTCAATGACCTCATGACATAAGCATGCAATCCTTTATTTTGCTTCAGTCAAGAAAGGTGTGGTTTGTGGAAGGCACAACCACACCCTGGTCAAAGTTTGTAACATAAAGTTCATCAAAAATATCAACTTTATTCCCCAAACATCCCTAGCTTTCATTAACAACAAATTATGTGATGTCTCATTCATATTACTTATGAACTTGAGAAGGTATTAGCTGCAAATAAAGAAATTACCAAAATTAGTTTTCTACTAAGTAAAGCAAGAAATTCCTTTTACTTATGCTCACTTCCTTCAAGTTTCTGCTGAAGTGCAGGGAATCAGCCTCGAGGTTAGTTGTAGTATCTCAGAGACTGATAAACTGTATTGTTTTCTCCCCTATAAAGATGATATGTAGTCTTTTATAAACTTTAATCAAATCCTTTTGTTGGCACCCCCAAAATGAAGGGGCCTCATTTTTCTCATCCTGCCTCACAGAGTATCATACGTGTCTTCCTCCCTTCCACCGGCAACTTAGTCCTCCTCCTATCTTCCCTAGCTTTGCCGTACCTTCTCACTGCAACCAGCACTGCCCCTTGAATTCTAGATGGAAACAGCCATGGATTGATGGCAGGGGAAGACAGCACTGTCCCTTTTCCTTTCAACACCCCACCCCTGACAAGGCCTGGTATCTTGTTGGCTATTTTGGTCCAGACACATCGTGAAGTTGGCAGAGAGTGGTCTACAAGACCTTTTTCTGGATCATTACCGGTAACTCTGCATCTACTAATTGACACTTGTCTCTAAATGCATTCTTAGGTTTCCCTTCACTGAAACTCAGCTGATGCTTTCTGCCCTCATATACAACCTTTCAAGATCTTCCTTAGGCTTATTTCCACCAATGTGATGGTGGTCACTCCCCAATCTGATACACATCCTCTTTTAGACTGTTTATTAAAATATTAAGATCAAATGCAATGGTGAGCTCCAATGCATCCCAACATTAAAGCTTTCACATTAGAGAAATAACAAATTTTCAACATTTCTTTTCCCATCTTTAGATCAACTATCTTTGATCTCATAATGATTCCATGAAAAAAAATATTTTGAAGTGTGCCTGAATGGCTAAGTCAGTTGAGTGTCCAACTCTTGATTTTGGCTTAAGTCATGATCTCCCGGTTGTGGCTTTGAACCCTATGTTAGGTTTGGTGTGAAGGATGGAACCTACTTGGGACTCTCTCTCTCCATCTCTCTCTGCCCCTCCCCCCACCCCTTTCTCTCTCTCTCTCTCTCTCTCTCAAAAATAAATAAAATTTAAACTAGGAAGGGGCGCCTGGGTGGCGCAGTCGGTTAAGCGTCCGACTTCAGCCAGGTCACGATCTCGCGGTCCGTGA